GCTTGTGGGTTTGCCATGGAGTTAGGAAATGGAAAACTGGGTATATTTGCATGTATTTGCACAAAATTGTTCCTTGTTGTTGTAGACCTTGATGCAACCTTAGGACCTTATGGGTCATCTGCTGCAGAACTCCTTTAAGTTATTTTTGTAATGGACAATATCATTTTCCCTTTCTCACAAAATATCTTTACACTCAGATATTTGCATTTTCTGCTTCTTAATGATCATAAAAATAGCAGTCCTGAAATAAATCCTTTTAGCAACATTAGGCAGTTTAAAAAAAAGTTTAATCTTATATCCTGACTAAGACCTTGTTAACTTATGTGTGTTGGTATTAATGACTGAAAACAGTCATTTTTCCCCTGCCTTGATCACTAGCACAGACACTGACTGTTTGTGGTGTTTATTTAAATTCCTTTAAAAAAAACACCAGTTCTAGCTCTGTCACCCAGAAGATACTGAATTAAAGACAATATGTCTTGAGTTTCAGAGGTCTTGGTCGTGGATACGTGGTTCTGGTGGCAATTTATTGATACCATGAAGCTGCATGCTGTGAAGGGACTTTAACAACAAATAGTATGATATTGTTTTGTATATAAAATCTCTACTGATGCAACCTCACACAAAGTAGGGTTTGTGTGATTCTGTGAAGATTTAGTGCCTGCAGATTTATAGTTGGTTCAGTGTTGCTATCAAGGGGAGTAAAATTCTAATTAAAAGGGAGGTTTTAGAAAGAGTTCAGGTATACAGTGCTCATAGGCTGGTCTGTAATGTGTTAAAGCACAGCTTGACGTGAGCTGCTGGTTAACTGTGTGCTTTCAATTATTGCACACTCCCTACTTTGGAGCAGGAAAATCACGGAGTGGTTTCTCACACGGGGTGCTTGCCATTGCTGTTCAATAAGGGAAATGGGTTCGTTTGTGCTAAACAGAGGTAAAAAGGCAGGGATGGTGGCAATACTGCTGCAGGGAGGCAGAATTCAGTTCAGTGGCAGCCCTGGACTGAAAAACGTGGGGTTTTGGTGAGATGCCTCTGTGTTCTTCTGCTTCCCTCTGCTGGAGTGCAACCAGATCCCTGCCTGGATCCCAGCTGGGCTTTGGAGCAAATCTGAACACCTTTTAGCAGAACCAGAGCTGCCTGGCTGGGCAAGTTCCTTCTGCAAACCCATTTATATATATTTTTTAAAAGGTTTTTGTTCCATTTTTTGTTTTCTTTCAATAGCTCCACAGAGTGCAAGTCTGTGTGCAGCACAGATCAATTTTTTTGGGCAGTGCAATTTTATGGCTCCTGGTCTCTGTATAAGTGTGTCCCAGCTCTGAGCCTAATGAGTAAATATTTTGGGTTTTTTTCCGAGCTGCAAGGGGTGTAGATGTCCAGTTGCTATTTGTCTTTAGAGGGATACTATCCCTCTAAAGAGGGATGCTGCACCTGCATATGTCATTACAGGCTCTGAATCTCCAGCCTGTTGTACTGCAGTCGAATTGCAGAGCACTGGCAAGATTTCTGCCAATTTAAAGGTTTTTCAGAGACAAATATTTAAATCTCTGTGATATCGATTGCCCTGAGTTTCCTTTCCCATTTAATTATAGTATATTGCTTTCAATTGTACTTCTAAAAATGTCTCAATCAATGGCAGAGAATTCACTTTTTAGCATGAAAATAACATGAACTTTAATAGACCATGTCATTCATCACTGCTTAACAAGAGCTTTCCCATTGCTTTCCCATTGCCTCTTTCCCCCTTCATAATTTTGATGGATTTTGGAAACAGAAGTGGGTTTTCCCTTTAGAGTTTCACAATTAATCTATGCCAAGTTTAGTGCAAAGTTCAATTCTCTTGCAAATAGCAGCCATTATTTGGCAGTTCATCTGTCATATCCTGGCTTGGCTCCCTGTGTTTACTATGAAATATGACTGCCAGCTATGCTTTGGGAATTATTGAAAGTTTACATTGATTAAAAGGGGATATTTGAAGAAAATTTAGAGGAACTTACCTCTAACTCAGTAGCTTACCTGTAGCTGAAAAATTCTAAAGTTAGTTCCTCAATAGTGCATATAAGACACTTAATGCATATTTAACATTGGGAAGTATTAAACTGTATTAGCAACTAATAATTGCTGTTAATATGAGCAATTAGTACTGGCAATGTAGTAATCATTAGCTGTATGTGTACTTAATGAGTAAACTATAGGTTGAAGGGTAGTTCTAAGTGCATGAGAAGCCTGTGCTAATACATGAAATAAGATTAAAGGGTTTTATCATCTCTGATGGGTGTATTGAGCTCTCTTGGTTTTCTCTAGATGTTCTCAGGCTTGCTTGTGAAATAACAATTTTTTGTATAATTCAGTTTACCTAATAACAAAAAAAAAATGCATAGGATTATAACAGAAAACAGGGTTAGTTACTGATGAAGAGTGCACTCCTTTATTTGTTAGATTTTAAATATTTTTTAATGCTCTTCTGTTTTGCTCTGTTGAAGGGATTTTAAAAGAAAGATTTCCTACAGGCAAAGTTTCCATTTCAGGAGTAGTTTTGATATGTTTTGCTTTGTCCTCTTTTTTCATACTTTGCCTGGAATAAGCTACTTCATGTGTGCATATAGAATAATTACTAATAATACTCAAAATATAACTGCTACTCTTTAAAAACAAAGCAATTCATACTGAGTTGGCAATTTCACACCATGCCAGAAAACTAACATTTGTTATAGAAAGCAAATGATTCAAACTATATACATTGAGTCATGCAGGGCCAACTTCAAAGTTTGATCTAACTTGATTTGTTTATTCATGTGTCTGGTTTTGTTTCATTGGTTTATAAGAACATTTTTGGTGGTAATGTTTGTTATATAATTTCAGTATCATATACAGGTTCAATGTATTTACTAGGCATTCACTATAATAATATCTCATAGTTCTTTCCCCTCTGTATCATTACTTTATACTCATAAATACCACTTATGTCAGATGTTAAACACAACTTCATAAATCTGTTTATTCAGTGTCATTCTTACAAGCTCTGGGTTTTGTCCTTTTCAGCAACAGATGTGCTTACCAAAGAAACATTTAAGGATATATATTTATAAGACAGTAAGGCCCCTTCTGTCTGCAAAACAAAACAAGGAAGAATTAGCTTTGAAAGTGTGTTAGAAGTTGTTTGGAAGGCACATAGTCAGAGTGGCTCCATCAGACAACCCTTTTGTCCAGCGATGTTCCCATGACCCTGCACCACAAGGCCCATTGGCTAGATCCTTAATAACTAACGAAACAGATGTTCTCTGGAGCATCAAATGTCAGTCCAGTTAGGTTAACTGTGTTTACAAAATAAATATGGTTGTTAGCAGTTTGCATTTCCTATTTCAGGCTGTATAACAAACTAGTGGAATAGTCTCAGTTTGAATTCTTAATGTGAAGTCTTTACTCATCGTGGATGCTGTATAATATCTATCCATGCAATTAAAAGTAGATTCATCATAAAACATAGAAGCAGTAGGAAGCAGTGTTCCCACACAGAATTCTTACCAAAACAAACAAAACCCTTTACAAAGTGCAGCATGACAAAATATTAAATTTTGAAGGCAAGATTTTGCCTTCTCGTAGCCATATTTTTATGATAATTACTGTTAGAGGTTCCCAAATTTATTTAATTTCTTGAGAAACCATTTGTACCAGGGGAATCTTTTATTTTTGAAGAAGGAGTTAGCAGGTTTTCCAGTTTGTATAACATGCTGTGCTTCACTTTTTAGTTTTTTGAAAGCTTTTATTGGCAGATGCAAATTGAAAAGTTATTTTATTTTTAAATACAACTTCATTATTATCTAATAAAAAGTTATATTCATATAAAATGTAAAGAGAAGAAAAATGTTTTGTTGTTTCATTTTGCAGTTGTGTTTTTGTTAAAGATGTTTTAATGCATGAAAAACTTGGCATTTCATAATTTTCATGGTCTTTCTGTAAAGTTATGGTAGCAAGAATTGATTTCAAACCCCAATGTATTTTGTTTAATGAAGAAGAACTGATCTTCCCAGCTTCTGATCAAGACTGTGCAGTGATAGTTTGGACTAAAATGTAGTTGGGGCTGGAAGTGGTCCTAAAGGACATGAAAATATAGATGATGTGCACAGCACTATAGGGCTCCCGTGCTGTTTATTTTGGCAATGTGCATCTCCAGGTTTTGGGACCAGGCTGCACAAGTCTGGTGGACGTGAATCTCTGTGCTTGTGTGTATGTGGAATGAGCCTGACATGGTGGAACGTATTCAAGACATGATTTCTTCCTCTTATATAAATGTTCTTGGTTTTTCAAAGGGGACTTCTACCCCTGGAGAAGCAGCAGATGTTATTTGGATGTGTCATACACTGAAGTGATTTGGGTGTATTCCCTTTCACTGGTCCTAAATTAGAAACCATTTCCAAGCTGCTGGTGGCCTTAAAAAGTCCTCACTCTAAGTTTTTCTCTTTGGAAATCAGATGGGAATAGCAGTCTCTGTAAAATATTTACTACGTGCCTATATTTTCCCTTTCACTTACAATAGCAAAGATACTTTTACAGTTGACTTTACAGTTGTTTGAGTGCATTTCAGACTAGCCATCTAACAGTTCCCTGCTCTCCTGTATTTTTTCTCATCATTTTGGGATGGTGCTGGTAACACACTGGAAACAAGCAGAGAGTGTGTGACACTGCAGCCCCAGGCTGAATGCCCTCCTTGTACTTCATGGAGATGTACACTCATAGATGGGGTGAATCACAGGACCAAGCCTGTCCCCTCTGAGCTGACATACTCTTTCCTACACCACCAAAGCAAAGGGAAATTAGGAATTGAAGCCAACACAGCTCCACCAGTGTAGGGACCACTGTAAGGGCTATGAATAAGCTACACGCTGCAACAGATTTTTCTGTAGTGTAAGTTGCAGAGCTGGAAAGTTTCTTTCAAGTAATATATTAAAAGCGTGTCAATCTTTTTTTATGACTTGAGAATCTCTTTCTGTTTTTTCTTTCAGGATCCCAGAAGCAAGCACAAATTTAAGATCCACACATATGGGAGCCCGACCTTTTGTGACCATTGTGGGTCTCTGCTTTATGGGCTTCTGCACCAAGGGATGAAATGTGACAGTAAGTCAGGTTTTCATATGTTGACAAAAGGATATTTCAGAAAGTCATTGAAGCACTGGGTAACAGCTTCTTCTTTTCTGTGGAAAATACCATTTCAAATGTCAGCTATTTATAGTACTGTTATGTTTCAAGTGGATATTTCAGTACTATAATAATATACTAATGAAAATCACCTCTCTTGGTGAGAACATGGTGTATTTAGTTTTGATGTGGCTGAAGAGCCTTTGCCATGGCAGTTTTGAGAAAGCCTCTTCTTGGACTGGTCAGGTGAATGCACTGTTGAAACTCAAATTTCAGTTAGTTGGTAGCTGAGGTCCAATATTTTACATGTATTTAATTTGTCTTGGAAGCCTCCTGCTAGAAAAATCTAATAATCAATTTAAACCTAACTCTCTTCATTGCTGTTACTGGCACGAATGGTCTGTTTTCTTAGTCATGTTCCCAGCAAGACTTTATTCCATTTTCACTTTTATTTTCTCCTCACACTTCATTAATGACATCTTTAGGTTTCTGGAGTAGCTTATTTTATTCTGTTCCTTTCACTGTCTGCAAAATGTATTGTAAGTTGGAAACTAGCTGTGTAGTTCAGCTGAAAAACACACAGCTGTGATCTCAGAGTCTGGCCAGCAGTGAAGCATTATGATCTTAACTTTCCTTTTGCTCTGTTTTTGCAGTGGAATTGTGTTATTAGCTTCTCATAGCTCTCTGAACCACTTTTATACCCACAGCCTGTGACATGAATGTCCATAAGCAATGTGTCATAAACGTCCCAAGCCTCTGTGGCATGGATCACACCGAGAAAAGAGGAAGGATTTATCTGAAAGCTGAAGTCACTGGTGACAAACTGGAAGTAACAGGTAAAAAACCTATTTGGGAATTTTGCAGGTTTTAGAAATGTATAATATACACTCTGGACTTATGTACCTTGGTCAGATCTCTGTGTATTAAAGCCAGTGATGGAGTATTTCCCTTTAGAAGTGTGAGGGTTTCATTCAGCATCTCCTTGACTCCAGAAGCTCTGTGTTCATAAAAATAAGTAAACAAATGAAAGCTGCTGTAATAGCTTTAAAAACTCAGGAATATTAGTAGGATCACTATCTGATCAGGAAGTTAGCCATCATCTTCAGAACATAAGAAATACTCTAGACTTTCATCAGTTGAGGAGTTGTTTCCTGCATTTCAGAGTATTTAATAAACAAAAGCAACTTGGATTCCATCCCAAACATCACTCTCAGTGAGTTATAACATAAAAAATGAATCACCATGCTCTGTAAGGTTAAGGTTACCAAGATGGGGTGGAGGGAGAGAGAGGAAGGAAAGAGAGGGTTGGAGTTTTTTCTGTGGCAGTCTTTCTCCCAGGATGTATGAGCAAGCTTCAGTTGTGCAACCACATAGTCCACATCCCCACCGACCCATTCTAAGTCTGAAACTGTAGAAAAAATTCTGGAAAATGTATTTTTCAAGCTTTGTCCCCCTGATAGACATGTAGTAGGTTCCAGGAGAACTTCCTTGTGCTGCATCAGAGAGAGGAGTTTATCACTCAAGATCTGTGTAAGAATTTGTATTTATGGCATGACATGTTTATTCTCTTTGTGCTTTCTATTTGAGCTGGGGTCAACTGATGCTTAGTGTATCTGATATCTGAAGTGTAAAGTTGGTAGTGGATCCTATTGTTGATTTTTTCTTTCTTTTGAACACAGATACACACACAAAAATTCTTTGCCAATCAGATTACTATGTATTTACTCAAAGGGAGAGCACAGGGCAGGAATTAGGATGGATAGGAGTGATATAAGGGAAGGAATGCCAGAAAATTTTGTTCATATTTTCTTAATATGTAGAAGCAAGTCTGTAAAACAAATTAAATTCTAAAAGAAAGTCCTTTTTTTTATGGCTCAAAACTCTAAGGAGATGTCTGATATGTGATGTAGTAACTAGAACCAAAATAAGTGTGATAGAATGTAGAAAATGGAGCAGAACACACTCAGAAAACACAAATTCTCAAAAGCTTTAACCTCAGGAGACTGGGTTGGTTAGTGTGTCATCACAGGTTGACCAACACTGCTTCCTCAAAGAATAAAACTGAAAGGCAACAAATCTTAATGCACCACACTAGATGTACACTGATTGTCTTTAAAATTGGTACTTCGAGCAACTGAATTTGATCTCCACGCTATGGAACAAGAACAGGGTACTATCATTTTGTCATTGCCCATTTGGTGTTGTAAAACAGAATTAAACTCAAGCACAAAGACACAGTGGGACAAAGCAGGAGGTTTTTTAGACCATCTCAACTCCTTCTGCCTTTGTTTCTTGGTATCGTTGTTGGCAACCTGTGGGTGTTGAGTGTTGTGTATTGCTTCAGCATTGCTCAGTTGAAAGGCTGGAGCCTATTATGCACCAAAAAGGTGTTCCTTCTACCTCTGCATTTCTTTGGGGAATGAGTCTCAGGAGAGACTATGCCCCTTGCAGTCAGCCTAAAGGAAATCCAACCATCACACTGAATTTTCACAGCTTGTATAACCAGCAAGCTTCCCTCCTGGCACTGGATTCATTCATAGCTTTCTTCTCTCTAAATCCAACTGCCTCCATATTCTCCTGTCAAAGCTTCTGCAATGCATTGAAAAGGAGAAGTATGATGAAATTTAGTTAGAAAGGATCAGAGTGGATCCCAAGTGATACTTAATTGTAGTTTAACTTTTCAGATAGCTTCCTGTCGACGTAGGAGGGGTAAATTTGTCCAGGGTACTGTCACCAACAGCAAGGTGGTTTTCCTCAGCAGCGAGGCATTTCAGAGGGGGTGATGCAGGTTCTGAAAGTAGTTATAGCATGAGAGAGAACTAATCTGAAAATCAGCTCTGACAAAACTTAATATTTGTGGTATTCTCGGCCACTTTACAGCAAAGTTCTTAAATATGGCTTAAACTTTCTGCTATCATGTCCCTAATTTGACAAATAATGTACTTATTTTTTGAGGGTTCAGAAAAAAATTTATAATCCTTTTAGGGACAAAAACATTTGTCACATGTCTTTCTGGTGCCTGAGCAGGATAAAATAATTATACAAATACATATTCTTTTAGTTCACAATTTTATTTGAAGAAGTCTTGCCTGAGATATGAGTGTGGTAATCTTGTTACAGCTATTTTGTAGGTTTTCTTCATAAGGTCTTTATTGTGTGAGTGTACTTGGCAAATCTCTTTATGTCTGTGTTTATAAATAAAACATTTCCATCCCATAATGAAGTAGGTTCCTGGACAACAAGAAAAATGTTTCCTATAACCTTGTTACATATAGAACAACTATGGTCCTGTGAAGTTGTTTTGGTTGAGGCTTGTCAGCATTTCCAAACCTTCTGAAAATTTCTTAAGATAGAAATGGCAGTTGCCCTGAGAGTAAGCTTGCTCTGCTCTTCTCTTCTCTTCTCTTCTCTTCTCTTCTCTTCTCTTCTCTTCTCTTCTCTTCTCTTCTCTTCTCTTCTCTTCTCTTCTCTTCTCTTCTCTTCTCTTCTCTCTCTTCTCTTCTCTTCTCTTCTCTTTTCTCTCCCCTTTCCTCTCTTCTCTCTGTCTGTCTGTCTTTCAAAATACTATAAAGACTAAGCCCAGTTGAAGTTTCAGATCCCTTTTCTCCATGTTTAACTGAAAATGAAATTAGCAGTTGTCACTCAGTTCATAGACCTATTGCTATGCAAAAATGTCAGACTCCTTCTCTCCCAGTATGACATTGCTTCTAAAATATTTATTGACAAAACCTTTGTTAGAATAAACAGTTTTGAGAGCTTCCAAGCATGAGGCCACTGCCTTTGGCTTTGGGAAAGGAGCTGAATTAAATGTCCAGAAGGTTTAGGAATAGCAGGAAAAATAACCAGTGATTAGCTGTTTGCTTTGAGCCTTTGCCTGAGTCTTTTTCAAATTAATTACTCTGTAGGTGTTGAACTCCTTCAGCTGAATTTCTTAAAATCTCTGCCCTGGGTCCTGTTTTGGTTGTTAATTAGTTCCTGCT